GATCATGGTGGATAAGCTTTTTGATGTGCTGTTGCAATCGGCTTGCCAGTATTTTATTGAAGATTTTTGTGTCTACATTCATCATGGATATTGGCCTGAAGTTTTCTTTTCTTGTTGAGCCTCTGCTGGGTTTTGGTATCAGGATGATGTTGATCTCATAAAATGATTTGGGAAGGATTCCCTCTTTTGGATTATTTGATATTTTTGTAAGAATTATATATATGCACATAGACACTTTTCCCAGTATGTAAGCTAGTACAATTTTTCTGGACAACAATTTGTTAAAAATATATGAAAAATGTATAGTCTTCATATATTTTTAAATTATTTTTATTTTATATGTATACATAGAGAGTTTTAAAATCTCTTTACATATATATAAATATGTATATAAAATATACATGTACATAAAAAGGTTTTTAATATTTATTCTCTTGTAATTCAATAATTCTATGCCCAAAACCCTATCCTAAGAAATAATCAGAGGTATAGCCAAAGATTGATATCCAATGAATGACATAGGAGTGTTATTTAAAATAACAAGAATTTGCAAACCACCAAAATAACCAAACATAAATCATTTTACCCTCAGAGTATGGAATGTTATGGAACCATGAAAAATCATGTCCTTGAAGACTACTGAACAAAGTAGAAAAACTCATGTGATCCAAAGTCAAATGGAAAGGTATGCTGCAAAACTGCTTAACTTATATGATTCCAGTTTTGTAAAGTGTACAAAAAGACTGGATATAAAACACATGAAAAAGTTAACAACAAAATTTCCAGGTGGTAGGATTATGAGTGATTTGCATTTTCTCTATGTTAATCGCAATTTAATCAATAATAAAATTTTATTTTCATAATCAAGGGTTTTATAACTTAAAATTTTAAGTTGTAGCTGAATGGTAGAAAGGAAGAAGGATGGAAGTGATTACAATAGAGTAAAATAGAATACCTCTAGGTTTCACTTTCTTCTGACCTCCACACTTTCTGATGACAAATCCAATGTCATTCTAATTGTTTTTCCTCTACAGATAAGGTGCCACTTCTCTCATGCTACTTTCAACGTTTTTTCTTTGCCTGTCTTCAGAAGTTTGATTACAGTGTGTTCTAGTGTGGATTTCTTTGGATTTATCCTGTTCCAGATTCTCTCAGCTTCTTGAATTTTAAAGTTCTCGAAAACTTTTACCTTGAACAAATTTAGGAAGTTTTCAACCATTATTTGAGTACTTTTTATGTCCCTCCTCTTTCTCCTCTCTTTCCAGGATTATGACGACATGAATGTCACCAAAAATCTTTTGTTAGCGTCCCATAGGTTCCTGATGCTTTGTTATTTTACATTCTTTCTATTGTTTAGATATTTTCTATTATTCTGTGTTCCAACTCACTGATTCTTTCTCTATCCTCTCTCTTTTCTCTGCTGAGCCCATCCATTGAGTTATTTATTATATTTTTCCATTCTACAATATCCATTTGGTTCTTCTTTATATCATCAATTTCTTTGTTGAGACTTTCCTTTGTTTCAAGTGTGCCTGTAATTTCCTTTTGAAACACTGTATTTATTGAGATATAATTCATATGCCATAAAATTCACCCTTTTAAAGTATATGATTCAGTGGTTTTCAGTATATTCACAAACTACCACTACCTAATGCCAGAACACTTGTATCACAATATAAAACCCCATACTCATCAGCATTCACTCCTCATCTCCCTTTCTCCCCAGTCCCTGGAACCCATTAATCTATTTTCTGTCTTTATAGATTTGTACATTCTACACATTTCATATATGAGTGGAATTATACAACATGTAACCTTCTGTGTCTGGTTTCTTTTACTCAGCACAATGTTTCAGAGTTCATCCATGTTATAGTATGAATCAGGACCAGCTGCTTTTCTCCTTCTACCATGAGTGGAAGCTTCCTGAGGCCCTCACCAGAAGCAGATGCTGGCACTATACTTTGTATACAACCTGCAGACCATGAGCCAGACAAACCTCCTTCTTTATAAATTACCCAATTTACAGCCATGCAAACAGACTAACACAGGGCTAGAAGTCCAGGCTCTCCATATGGCCTCCACTGAACCACAGAAGGGGATTGCAGCCTCACTGCTACTGGGGTGATGAAGTCCTGCCTCTCCACTGGGCCTCCTCTGACCCCACTGCACTGGGTAAGGCGAGGTGCCTTTGGTGCTGCCAGGCAGGGATAGAAATCCAAGCTGCTTACTCAGCCTTTCCTCCCACCATCCTGGTGGGGGCAGTTGAAGCCACTCATTACAATCTCAGGTGGGGAACCTAGGCTCTCCATGTGACATTTACTAGCACAGGTGGAAGTGGGGGCACACTTTTCCATGGTGTTCAGCTGGAGCCAAGGGGTGATCAGAGAAGTTTCCTATCTTGTTAAACTGCTCCTTTCCTGGCCTTCTGGCTAGAGAAAGCAGGCTGTTGTCGGGGATTTTTCCTCTGTGTCCATGGGCTGTTCTTGGTTACCAGCTGCTTCTGCTCCATATCTGAGACAGAGGAGGGAAGAAGCCAGCCCAGGGACCCCCACCACTGTGTTCCTCCTCAGGTCCTGAGGTCTCGAGCTGGTCTGCCTAGAAGGAGTATACTTGTATTCTCACAGGCCTACCATCTTCCCAGAAGCAGAAGTCCAGCTTTTTTTAAAATACAAATTTTTAAAAATTTGTTAAATATTAAACATAGACCTAGCTTTAAAGTGAACTGTGCATTGCCTTATCTTTCTGAAATGCAGGCCACTGAAATAAATTTAACCTTGCTGACAAGCTCAATGACGCAAACATCCACAGCTATAGGTTTGCTTATTCCACAAGATTCACTTGGAGTCTGCTATGTGAAGCACACTCTTCCATTTGCTGTCATGTTAAAGGGGACCTGTTGACCCAATTTTGGAAGCTCCTGTAATTGCCTGTTCCATTTTCTACTTCTAGCTCTTGTCAATGTGGCCGCCCCCAGAGAATTTCCACACCTTTTAATCTGCTAATTCTACCAGTGCACAGCCTGAGAAACCAGATAGTCAAATCTTTTGGAGATATTTTTAAACAATAGTAAACAGACTAAGAATAACAGACTCTTCACTTCATATACAAATCTCCCAACATTGATTTAGGCTGTTCCAACATCCCTTAGGCTTACTTACAGGTTCCTCACCATCTTCTATTGCTATGGTTCCTAAGCAGGAGTGTGGGTCCTAAGAAAGAGTGTGAGTTTAGAATCAGAGAGTTCTAAATTCACCTCTGTGGCCCCCACAGATACAAAAATCTGTGGACGCTCTAGTGCCTGACATAAAATGGCATGGTTAGCTGAAGTTAGACATAAATGATTTTAAATAGCATGCAGTGCCACTGTACTTATAGATTCATTTTACGTTAATAAAGATAAATCAAGCAAGCAGTAGGCTTGTGGGAAAACAGGCAGCCCATGCCAAGTATAGACAGCTGGGAAAATGCCCTCCGCCTCTATGAACCCACTATCCAGGGGAAGCCTGAGATCACACATAGGCTGGGAGCTAAGGATTCCGAATTACTGTGCTAATTAAGCAGGAGGCACAAGTTAAATTCAGATGCCTAATAAGCACTTGGACATTTTTTCTTACTTTATTGCTGTTAGAGCACAGCCAAAGCTGACAATTCCAACAGAACGGGTTGCAGCACCTGTTCATTTCAGAAAAATGGGCTGTGCTCAGAGACCATGCCCCAGGCACATGGTTTTTCGAGGTGCCTAGGCTAGTAATTCATTCAAGGCCCACCTTACAATTCTGTCACATGTCTCCTATCCCATGCATATCACAAAATACAGAATACTACGTTCCTGAATTCCACAGCAAATAGAACCAATTCCTGGCATCATACTGCATGGTTCATGCACATCTATGCTTCTGAGAGAAAAGACGTGGTTCCTAGGAACGAGTGGGATTAGAGTCAGAGAGTTCTAAATTCACCTCTGTGGCCTTGGCAAGTTACCTGAACACAGTCGTCCCCCAGTATCCAAAGGGCACTGTTTCCAGGACTCTCCCACAGATACAGCAATCTGTGGGTGCTCAAGTGTCTGACATAAAATGGCACAGTATTTGCATCTAACCTGAACACACCTTCCTGTATACTTTAAACTCTCTCTAGATTACTAGTAATACCTAATATAATATAAATGCTATGTAAACAGCTGTTATTCTGTATTATTTAAGAAAGAGTGACAAGAAAAAAAGTCAGTGCATGTTCAATATAGATGCAACCCCCCTTTTTTCTGAATATTTTCAATCCACAGTTGGATGAATCTATTAATGTGGAACCCAAGGATACAGAGGACCAAGTGTATTTTCCTAATCTAATAGAATAAGCAAAGATCCCCCAATTTACTGAATTATGATAAACTTTGGAGAGAAGACCCGGTGCAAGGGAAACATGGGTATTCACTGAACGGCAAATGTCATCACTGGTATTAATTTTTTTATGAGTAAGGAAAAGACCACCTCTTCACAAAGAGAAAGGATACCAGATACTACCACAAGTCATTAGCTTCTATAGGCCAAAGTACCAAGTTGTTTTCTATTCTAGTGAGAAACCACCCACTATCTCCATGTCCAGCGTTCTTTGTACACTGTGATGTATCTTTTAGCACATGTGGAAAGGAAGGTGCAAGCCCCAAACCATGAAAGCATTGCTCTTTCTGTAGGGCAGCCTTCTTCCCTCTGTCCCCCCACACTTCCTTCCTACCAGCTCACCCATCCTTAGGACAGCCTTCTTCCCTCTGACTCTGCCACACTTCCTTCCCACCAGCTCAGCCATCTCTAGGGCAGCCTTCTTCCCTCTGCCCCCCGACACTTCCTTCCCACCAGCTCACCCATCTCTAGGAGAAGCCTTCTTCCTTCTGTCCCCCCACCCTTCCTACAGCTCATCCATCTCTAGGGCAGCCTTCTTCCTTCTGTCCCCGCCCCCCCACACTTCCTTCCCACCAGCTCACCCAACTCTAGGGGCAGCCTTCTTCCTTCTGTCCCCCCTCCCACACTTCCTTCCCACCAGCTCACCCAACTCTAGGGCAGCCTTCTTTCTTCTGTCCCCCTTCCCACACTTCCTTCCCACAAGCTCATCCATCTCTAGGGCAGCCTTCTTCCCTCTGACTCTGCCACACTTCCTTCCCACAAGCCCATCCATCTCTAGGGAAGCCTTCTTCCTTCTGTTCCCCCACCCTTCCTACAGCTCATCCATTTCTAGGGGCAGCCTTCTTCCCTCTGTCCTGCCACACTTCCTTCCCACCAGCTCACCCATCTCTAGGGGCAGCCTTCTTCCTTCTGTCCCCCTCCCACACTTCCTTCCCACAAGCTCACCCACCTCTAGGGGCAGGCTTCTTCCTTCTGTCCCCATCACACTTCCTTCCCACCAGCTCATCCATCCAGCCTCCCCAGGACTGCCTCCCATGTTCCCTCACTCCCTCTCTCTCCTTTTAATCCTCCAAGCTACAGTGTTTTTTTATTGGTGTTTTTTGTTTGTTTGTTTGTTTGTTTCTTCCAGGTACACACACTTTCCTGAAGTTTGGGTCTTTATTCTATATAATTTTTACCCACTAGACCCCTCTGCTTTCAGTGCAACCATCCTGAACTCTCATTTCTCCAATGCTACTAGATTCTATTCTTTTTGAAGATAGAGGCTTTGGGGAAGAAACCAACCAAGTATAGATAGGATGTTTCACACAAAGCGGGGAAGCCAACCGAAGGTGAGCCACCAGAAGGAGCACTGGGTTGCTACCACTATACTGATCTACAACCTGTGGCAGGCGAGAACCTTAAGGGAGATTCCTACCTGTTGCTGGGGACAGGAGTGAGGGGGAGGGCGGGGACTGACAAAGGCTAGTGACAACCATGGAAGAAATGACCTTGTGACTGAATCAAGAAAATTCATCCATGTCTATGAGATCGAAGACTATTATTCTAAGTGAAGTAACTCAGGAATGAAAAACCAAACATCATATGTTCTCACTGATATGTGGGAGCCAAGCTATGAGGACACAAAGGCATAAGAATGATACAATGGACTTTGGGGAGAAAATGAGAGGGGGGCGAGAGATAAAAGACTATAAATATGGTGCCATGTATACTGCTTGGGTGATGGATGCACCAAAATCTCACAAATAACCACTAAAACACTTACGCAGGCAACGAAATATTACCTGTGTCCCAAAAACTCATGGAAATGTTTTAAAAAAGAAAATTCATCCTTATCTGGAGCAGAGCAAGGTGGCTAAAGTGCCCATGATGGTCCAAGCAGAAAGGGGCATGCCATGAAGGCCTGCAGGGCCCCTCTAGATCAGGACTGGTTCAGGCAGGCTCTTCTCCCTGCTGCCAGGTCGAGTGGGTGATGGCATTCTCTCTGGCATGTGAGAGGGATAAAGTGTCAAGCTTGACCTCCCCACAGATGATGGCAGAAAGGAATGAGGGAAACAACGGCATCCAAAGGAAGGGGAAGTAAGAAAGGATTGGCTTAGAAATGAAGCTTTCATTTCAGCAGTGAAAACCATCTCAGACACAGCCATCCAATTTCCCAGACACAGACACCTAGAAAAACATCACATATATGGGTCACACTGAGCCCCTCACTTATATCAGAGGCTTTTTATGGTGGCATCATTAAGCTATTTATAGTGAGCAATTAAAGAGGACCTAAGTGGGCCACCACATTCCCATCTGGCTGGTTCTGGCTAATGTGGCAGTATGCTGACAACAAGATAAAGGCTTTCCTTAAATGCTGTGCCACACAAAAGCTGCCTCTATATACTTATAAATCTGCTTTTAGTTTGTATTTATATTTTATTTTTTAAAGTCAGTTCAATTATGCATGGGTTGCATTAACCATAATGCAAGCTGCGTTATGCAAAACTTCACAGAAACTGTGCAATGCCAGGCTGGTGTGACTGTGGGCAGGTGGCATGAGCACAGATGTAACATGTGGGCAAAAGATGGCATCATAGGGTAGAATGGGCAAAGTCTTTAGATCCTATCAAAACAGACTCTGACTAGCAGCTCTGCCAATTAACATAACCCTGGGAAAATCGTAACTCAGTTTTCTTACCTATAAGACCAGGATCTATCGCTGACTTCACAGGTTCTTCCATGGGAAGTGCCTAATGAACCGTGTCACATGGGATTGCTCAGTAAATGGTAACTGTCTGGGGACAGTCAACAGAGCACAGGCCAAATGAGGTCATGGTTATGAACAGACTTCTGAATGGACTGTACTCCAACCACCCCTCGAAGTGACCTTTCAAAACAAACTCAGCCCTATACGTTAAGTCCCCCCTGCCCCACCTCTGATCATGTAGGGCTGATCACTCCTAACCTGATCATTCCTCCCTCTCCCCTTACACATCCACTTCAAATGATTGCACGTGTGTGTGTGTGCTTATGTCACACACATTCTTAGAAGGCCACCTTTTCCAATCCACCTGTTAAAATCCTACCTCCGCTTCACAGCTTCACTTCAACAATGTTCCTACAACACCACCTTCCTCCTCAGAACCTCTTAGCACTGCCCACATCCACTCCCCATAGGGGCCACTGTGAGTACATTCCTGAATACAGGAACACACCCTCCCTCCTAATTCTGCCCAGCAGCATTCAGTCAAGAAATGCCCCGGGTGCATAGACTAATGACAGAAGAAACTAATGGAAGGTCACAATTTTGTTTTTAGGTAATTAATCTTGCACCATCTGTGTCATCTCTGGTGCCTTGAAATTAAGAAGTGACCCACTGGGATATTCCCTCAAACTTGTCAGCACTTATGGTATGAGGCCAGGAAATGACTGTCATTGTCAGTCACTGAAATACACCCAACATGAGCCACTGAGAAATTCTTCAGCAAAGATTCTGCATTTTTCTGTGGAATTTATTCTCAAATGCCATGAATATTTATCTGCATTGTTAGTAAAAATGAACACACTCTGCAAATTCTTTTTTCCCCTGAAATTTTTGAAAAGTAGATATATCTTTTACCAACAGAATATAAATACTGCATTATCATATCTTAAAACTTTACTTATACTGAGATCTATTTCTGGAGTCTCCATTCTGTTTCATTGATATATTTGTCTATCACACTGATTTTACTATAGTAGCCCTTATAGTATGTTTTAATGTCTGATAAGGGAAGCCTCAACTCCCCCTTCAATATTTTTTTTGGAACTCGAATAAATGGTGCTGACACCCTCGGCTGTCTAGTTGGAACAAATTAATTTGGTCCTCTTACTTGCCCCATATGCAAAATTTACATAAAGTAACTTTGCTAAAACATATAAAAAGAAAAGCTAGATGTCAAAATTAAACCAATAGGCTCTTAAAAAGAAAATCTAGGGAGGGGGCTATGTGTACAACCGAGGAATGCATGAAGATCTTATCCCACAAAACATATAAACACAATATGAAAGATATATATTTGGCTATATGGAAATTTAAAAATTTTGCAAGAACAAAAGCTATCACAAGCAAAGTTTAAAGACAAATAACAGGCTTAAAAATATTTGCAATAAACATTTTTAAATAAAATACATTTTGTTTTGAGACAGAGTATCTCTCTTGTTGCCCAGCCTAGAGTGAAATGGTCCCTTCTTGGCTCACTGCAACCTCCACCTCTTGGCTTCAAGAAATTCTCCTGTCTCAGCCTCCCATGTAGCTGGGATTACAGGTGCCCACCATGCCACCACCATGCCCAGCTCATTTTTGTATTTTTAGTAGAGATGGGGTTTCACCATGTTGGCCAGGCTGGTCTCAAACTCCTGACCTTAGGCGATCTGCTTGCCTCGGCCTCCCAAAGTGCTGGGATTACAGGTGTGAGCCACTGCACCTGGCCTAGAGCTCCAAACTAATAAAAAAGCAACTCAGTAGAAAAATGTGCAAACAAAATAAATAGGAAATTCCCAGCCAAGTCAAGAACAAAAAGACCAAATGTATCAGAAAGCTGCTCAAACTCAACATTTCCATCCAGATGCAAAAATCATAAAGATTAGCACTTACCACTAACAGAGATGTCAAGAAAGGGGCGCTCTCACAAGCTGCTAGTGGCAACTGTTAACAAAAATTTTAGAAGCAATCTGGCAATAGCTATTGCTAAAGGTACATTTTAATGAGATCCCAAACACTGTTAACACTTTTTAAAAGTAAAAATACCAATACAAAAGAATGTACAAATATGTTTATTAGACCACTATTCCTAATGCCAAAAAATTAAAAAAATAAAAAGTGACAGTTTCATAAATAACGAGAGTTCCATATCATGGAACAGTATGTGGCCATAAAAGAATAAATGCAAGCTACACCAGTTGAGTTGGAAATGCTTCTATGCAGTTTTGTTAAATGAAGAAACTAAGATACAGAAAAGTATGTTTAATATATCATTTAATAAAAGTTAGTAAATGTTCTGAACCCCTTATATGTTTATATGTTCACATATAGTTATCTGGGCATAGAGGAAAACATAGAAGGATACACACCAAGTAATTCACATGGGTTACCAAGCATGATAAGAGGTAAAATGACAAGAGAGAAAGTAAAACAGAAAAAGAACCTCAAAGAACACTCAACCTGTATATTATTTCCACATATATGATACTTAAAAAAAAGAGATGTGGTTAGATCTGTATCTACTAATTTGCAGGAATGTACATGACCTATTGTTAAACTGAAAAGGCAAATTACAAAATCATGAGTAAAAATATTATTCTGTTCAAATAAGAATAGAATACCAGTGTGTGTACAATGAACTCAGGTATTTGATGGAGCAAGAATGTTTTGGAAACATGTGTACAAGGCTGTTAACACTGACTGTCTCATGGAGTTGTGCTGGAAAGAACTTTAGATCATTAATTTTACCTACATATGATTTTTATACCAAGTTGCTTCACTTAGTAAAGCAAATATATATTACTTCCATAACTAAAATTATCAAATAAAAAAAATCTCTTTTAGAAAAAGAAAAATGGAAATAACGGTGACAGGAAATATGAAATGCATCACAAGAGACTTCCACCAAGATGGCCAAATAGGAACAGCTTTGGTCCACAGTTCCCAGCGAGTGATCCAGAAGGCAAGTGATCTCCGCAATTCCAACCTAGGTACCAGGTTCATCTCACTGGGACTGGTTAGACAGTGGGTGTAGCCCAAGGAGGGCAAACCAAAGCAGGGTGGGGTGTCACCTCACCCCAGAAGTGCAAGGGACCAGATAACTCCCTCTCCTAGCCAAGGGACGCCATTAGGGATGTTTCTGACACTCTGGCACTCGGGCTCAGATACTGCGCTATTCCCACAGCCTTGACAACCTGTAGACCAGGAGATTCCCTCTGGTACCTACCATACCAGTGCCCTGGGTTTCCAGCACAAAATAGGCGGCCATTTTAGCCACAGCAATTTTATTTTCATACCCCAGTGGTATCTAGAACACCTCGAGATAGAACCACTCATTCCCCTGAGAAAGGGGGCTGAAGCCAGGGAGCCAAGTGATCTGGCTGGGCGGGTCCCACCCACATGAAGACCAGAAAGCTAAGATCCACTAGCTTGAAATTCTTGCAGCCAGCACAGCAGTCTGAGCTCGACTTGGGACATTACAGCTTGTTGGGGGAGGGGCGTCCGTCATTGCTGAGGTTTGCCTAGGCGGTTTTAACCTTGCCTGTGTAAACAAAGTCACAAGGAAGTTTACACAGCAACTGGGCAGAGCCCACAGTAGCTCAGCAATGCCTCTGCAGGCAGACTGTCAACTAAACTCCCTTCTTGCTTGGCAGAAAGGAAACAAGGCAGCAGCCCATCAGGGACTTATAAATAAAGCCCCACCTTCCTGGAACAGAACACCTGGAAAAAGGGGTGGTTGTCGGTTCTACTTCAGTGAACTTTGCATGTCTTACATGCGAAGGCACACATAGGCTCAAAATAATGGGATGAAGGAATATTTACCAAGCAAATGGAGAGGAAAAAAGCAGGGGTTGCAGTCCTAGTTTCTGATAAAACAGACTTTAAGCCCACAAAGATCAAGAGACAAAGAAGGGCATTACATAATGGTAAAGGGATCAATGCAACAAGAAGAGCTAACTATCCTAAATTTATGTGCACCTAATACAGGAGCACCCAGATGTGTAAAGCAAGTTCTTAATGGCTTAAAAAGAGACCTAGACTCTCACACAATAATGGTGGGAAAATTTAACATGCCACTGTCAATATTAGACAGGTCAACAAGACAGGAGATTAACAAGGATATCCAGGACTTGAACTCAGATCTGGACCAAGTGCCTAACAGACATCTACAGAACACTCCACCCCAAATCCATAGAATATACAGTCTTCTCAGCACCACCTCATCCTTATTCTAAAATCGACCACATAATTAAAAGTAAAACACTCCACAGCAAATGCAAAAGAACAGAAATCATAACATTATCTCAGACCACACTGCAATCAAATTAGAACTTAGAATTAAGAGACTCACTTAAAACTGTGCAACTACATGGAAAGTGAACAATCTCCTCCTGAATGACCTCTGGATAAAAAATGAAGGCAGAAATAAAGATGTTCTTCAAAACCAATGAGAATGAACACACAATGTACCAGAATCTCTGGGACACATTTAAAGCAGTGTCTAGAGGGAAATTTATAGCACTAAACGTCCACAAGAGAAGCGAGGAGAGATCTAACATTGACACCCTAACGTCAAGATTAAAAGAACTAGAGGAGCAAGATCAAACAAATTCAAAAGTCAGCAGAAGACAAGAAATAACTAAGATCAGAGCAGAATTGAAAGAGACAGACACACAAGAAACCCTTCAAAAAAGTCAATAAATCCAGGAGCTGGTTTTTTTAAAAGATAGACCACTAGCCAAACTAATTAAAAAGAAAAGAGAGAAGAATCAAATAGATGCAATAGAAAATGATCAAGGGGATATCACCACTGATCCCACAGAAATAAAAACTACCACTGGAGATTACTACAAACAACTCTATGCAAATAAACCAGTAAATCTACAAGAAACTGATAAATTGCTGGCCACTTACACCCTCCCAAGACTAAACAAAGAGGAAGTCAAATCCCTAAACAGACCAATAACAAGGTCTGAAATTGAGACAGCAATTAATACCCTACCAACCAAAAAACTCCATGACCAGATGGGTTCACAGCCGAATTCCATCAAAGGTACAAGGAGGAGCTGGTACCATTCCTTCAGAAACTATTCCAAACGATAAACAAGAGGGAATCCTCCTTGACTCATTTTATGAGACCAACATCATCCTAATCCAAAACCTGGCAAAGACACAACTAAAAAAGAAAATTTCAGGCCAATATCCATAATGAACACCGATGCAAAAATCCTCAATAAAATACTGGCAAATCAATTACAACAGCACATCAAAAAGCTGAACTATCACAATCAAGTCAGCTTCATCCCTAGAATGCAAGGCTGGTTTAACATCTGCAAATCCATAAATATAATTCATCACATAAACAGAACCAAAGACAAAAACCACATGATTATTTCAACAAAGAAGGCCTTTGACAAAATTCAACAGCCCTTTATACTAAAAATTCTCAATAAACTAGGTATCGAAGAAATGTATCTAAAAATAATAAGAGCTATTTATGACAAATTCGAAGACAATATCATACTGAATGGTCAAAAACTGGAAGCATTCCTTTTGAAAACTGGCACAAGACAAGGATGCCTTCTCTCACCATTTCTATTCAACATAGTATGGGAGGAGAAAGAAATAAAGAGTATTCAATTAGGAAAGAGGAAGTCAATTCGTCTCTATTTGCAGACAACATGATTGTATATTTAGAAGACCCCATCGTCTCAGCCCAAAATCTCCTTAAGCTGAAAAGCAACTTCGGCAAAGTCTCAGGATACAAAATCAATGTGCAAAGATCACAAGCATTCCTATACATTAATAATAGACAAACAGAGAGCCAAATCATGAGTAAACTCCCATTCACAACTGCTACAAAGAGAATAAAATACCTAGTAATACAACTAACAAGGGATGTGAAGGGCCTCTTCAAAAAGAACTACAAACTACTGCTCAAGGAAGTTAAGAGAGGACACAAACAGATGGAAAAACATTCCATGCTCATGGTTAGAATCAATATCATGAAAATGGTCATACTGCCCAAAGTAATTTATAGATTCAATGCTATCTCCATCAAGCTACCACTGACCTTCTTCATAGAACTGGAAAAAACCACCTTAAACTTTGTATGGAACCAAAAAAGAGCCTACATAACCAAGACAATCCTAAGCAAAAAGAACAAAGCTGGAGGCATCACGCTACCTTACTTCAAACTATACTACAAGACCATAGTAATCAAAACAGCATGGTACTGGTACCAAAACAGGCATATAAACCAATGGAACAGAACAGAGGCCTTGGAAGTAACACCACACATCCGCAACCATCTGATCTTTGACAAACCTAACAAAAGCAAACAATGAGGAAAAAATTCCCTGTTTAATAAATGATGTTGGGAAAACTGGCTAGCCATGTGCAGAAATCTGAAACTGGACCCCTTCTTTACACCTTACACAAAACTTAACTCTAGATGGATTAAAGACTCAAACATAAGACCTAACACCATAAAAACTCTGGAAGAAAACCTAGGTAATACCATTCAGGACATAAGCATGGGCAATGACTTCATGACGAGAACACCAAAAGCAATGGCAACAAAAGCCAAAATTGACAAATGGGATCTAATTAAATGTAAAAGCTTCTGCACAGCAAAAGAAACAATGATTAGAATGAACCAGCAACCAACAGAATGGGAAAATATTTTTGCAAGCTACCCATCTGACAAAGGGCTGATTTCTAGAATCTACAAAAAACTAAAGCATATTTACAAGAAAAAAAAAACCCATCCAAAAGTGGGCAAAGGATATGAACACTTTTCAAAAGAAGACATTTATGCAGCCAACAAACATATGAAAGAATGCTCATCATCACTGGTCATTAGAGAAATGCAAATCAAAACCACATTGAGATACCATCTCACACCAGTTAGAATGGTGATTATTAAAAAAATTTGGGGACAATAGATGCTGGAGAGGATGTAGAGAAATAGGAACATTTTTACACTGTTGGGAGTGTAAATTAGTTCAACCATTGTGGAAGACAGTGTGGCAATTCCTCAAGGATCTAGAAATAGAACTACCATTTGACCCAGCAATCCCATTACTGGATATATACCCAAAGGATTATAAATCATTCTATTATAAAGACACCTGCACACATGTTCATTGTGGCACTGCTTCTTACAATAGCAAAGACTTGGAACCAACCCTAATGCCCATCAATGACAGAATGCGTAAGGAAAATGTGACACATATACACCATGGAATACTATGCAGCCATAAAAAGAATGAGTTCATATCCTTTATAGGGACATGGATGAATCTGGAGACCATCATTCTCAGCAAACTGACACAAGAACAGAAAACCAAACATTGCATGTTCTCACTCATAGGTGGGTATTGCACAATGAGAACACATGGACACAAGGAGGCAAACATCACACACTGGGGTCTGTTGTGGGGTGAGGGGCTAGGGGAGGGATAGCTAGTCTGTTGGGAGTGGCAGGCAGGGAGGTTGGGGAGGAGTAACACTGGAAGAAATGCCTGATGTAGGTGATGGGGGCATAAAGGCAGCAAACCACCATGGCATGTGTGTATCTATGCAACAACCCTGCAAGATCTGCACATGTACCCCAGAACTTACAGTATAATTTAAAAAGAAAGAAAGAAAAATTTGCATAACCCAAAGTCACAAAATTTTTTCCCGTTCTTCTGAAAGATTTAAATTTGTAGGTTTTACATTTAAGTCTATGATCCATTTGAGTTAATTTTTCTATACAGTGTATGTGTGGCTTAAATTTTTCTTTCTTTTCCTGCTTAAGGATATGAAACTGATTTCTACTTTTTTTTTAAATAATAAAGACACTATTTTTTAAAAGAACAAATATTTACTATACAAACTGGGAAAATAGAGGATATGGCTGCCTCCTGTTCCAGGGAGAAGGCAGAAGTGGGTGGGAAGGAAAAGAGAAGGATTTTAAGAGCAACAAGGTCTCTTCAGTGGGGGCTCCGCAGGCTAAGGAGAGGCGGGGCTGGGGCTGGCAGAGTGGTCAGCTGAAGCGGTGGGAAGTGCCCCGGTGGGCTCAGTGGCTCCTGTGGGGGTGAAACAGGGGTCAGTAGGGTGAAGGAATCTGGAGGCTCAGGAGAAGGGGGCAGGGCCCTGACTCTGAGCCGGGCTGCAGTCTGGGTGTGCTCAGAGGTTCATGGTCCCCACCCCAGGGTGGCTCCGTGGGGGATAGGAAGGCCCAGGACACTGAGACATTGCTGCACCTGCTCCTAGAGCTCCCGCGGTGGCCGCTGCGGCTGGGCTCTGGACAGCTTACTTTCTGCGGTAGGGCCGGTGGTGCGCTTGAGGGAAGGCCGAATCTCTCCGAAGACACTGCTGTGGGAGAGCGGAGGCTTCTCAGGGGCCCAGGCCTGGGCACAAAGGTGGGGACCTCTCCATGTCTCCTGACGGGCTTGAAGGCAGAAGGCCTGGGTACCCGGCTCTGCTTCCTCCGCTTGACGTCCGGGGTCTCAAACCAGAGTGGCTCGGTGAATTTCCTGTTTCCCTTGTTGCACTGGCTGAGGGCCTTGAGCACGGTCTCCCTGGCACAGGGATCTGGGCGCTCCAGGGCAGGTGAGGCTTGTCGAGGCTCCTCTCTGTGCTCCGGCGGGGCGATTTTCACGGTCACTAGGCTGCGGACGGGCCGCGGGTGCCGGGCATTCCAAAGCCATCGCTTCATGTAGGCCAGGCGAGCCTCAGAAGAGTCTGGCCCAGTGAAACTCAAGAGCTGTGGCCTGTTGGGAAAGCACCTCCGGATGCGGGCAAAGTCCCAGGCTGGAGGAGCCGTGGGGAGGGGCTGGGTGCGGACCCAGCGCTCCCTATGGACATAGATGACTTTGCAGGGGTCCTGGACCTGGGAGCGGAGGACTGGTCTGGAGCTCAGCGTCTGGGGCTTCTGGGCTCGGGGCCAGCCCAGGAACCAGCTCAGATAGCTGCCCATGACAGCAGTGCAGTGGTCGGGACTTTTCCTTAGAAATTCAGCTTCCAGAAGTTTCCCAAGTCTGCAGCCAATACCAAGTGTGTAGAGCCTGGTGCCCGTGACCGTTGGCCTCAGGACGCCAGAAAGCGCACAAAGCACCGCGCGCTGGCAGCCGCTGGCCATAGAATCCTGCACGGATCAGGCCAGTGTCTCGCGGACACTGGGATGTTACGGGGTGGGGCGTAGCTGCAGTGGGGGAGGGCAGCACCCAGAAGATCTCCGCGACCAGGGACGCTCAAGCCTTCATCCTGCCTACTGATGGTGACAGTCACTTGGCTCTGGGCAGAGGGGCCTAACCGCTGCCTCTACTTTTGTGCCTGACTGTTAAAGGTAGAGGATAAAGGCCAGGCGCGGTGGCTCACACCTATAATCCCAGCACTTTGGGAGGCCGAGGCACACGGATCACCAGATCAGGAGATCGAGACCATCTTGGCTTACATGGTGAAACCTCATCTCTACTAAAAATACAAACAATTAGCGGGGGCAAGGTGGAACATGCCTCTTGGGAGGCTGAGGCAGGAGAATCACTTGAACCTGAGAGGTGGAGGTTACAGTGAGCCAAGATCGCACCAGTGCACTTCAGCCTGGGCCACAAAGCTAGACTCTGTCTCGGAAAAAAAAAAAAAGGAAAAGACAGAATTTCTGCCAGGTCCTGAAAACTGCAGATCCCTGTTGACAGAAGGGTGCACTCTTTGATCAGTGTGAAAATGAACACAATAGGCTTGGATACTCTTTCAAGGAAAAACAAGTAATTTACTCATATCAGTAAAGGTGATGTGTGTTTTATTCTTCTAGGATGGACATTAATGTCACTTTTTGTAATTTTGCTCCTAAGAAAACTGAGTCATTAAGTTTTAACACTTAGAATGTTTATTTTATGTGGATTTCCCACAATTTTCAGCCTTTGTACATCCATCAATAGATTGTCTCTCAACACTGTCATTTCTCTTTTCACTTTATTTATTTATTTAAAATTATAGTGGCAGTTTTTGGGAAAAGGGGGATGTTTGGTTACACGTGTAAGTTCTTTAGCAGGTGATTTCTGAGGGTTTAGTGCACTCATTACCCAAGCAGTGCACACTGTCCCCAATTGTAGTCTTTCCTCCCTCACTCACCTCCCACCCATTTCTAAAGTCCCTAAAGTCCATTGTATCATTCTTACCCCTTTGCATCCTCATAGCTTAGCTCCAACTTATGAGTGAGAATATATGATGATTAGCTTTCCATTCCTGAGTTACTTCACTTAAAAAAATGGTCTCCAGCTTCATCCAGCTTGCTCCAAATGCCATTATTTCATTCCTTAAGGCTGATTAGTATTCCACAGTACATTTGTACTACATTTTTTTTAATCCACTCATTAATTGATGGGTTTCTGGGCTGATTCTGTATTTTTGCAATTGTGAATTCTGCTACAATAAACATGCATGTGCAAGTATCTTTTCTGTATAATGACTTATTTTCCTCTGGGTAGCCAACCAGTAGTGGGATTGCTGGATCAAATAGTAGTTCTACTTTTAGTTTAGTTTTCTTTTGTTTTGTTTTTGTAACGAATTCTTGCTTTGTCGCCTACACTGAAGTGCACTGATCTTCGTCACAGAACTGGAAAAAACCACCTTTAACTTCATATGGAACCAAAAATAGCCAAGACAATCCTAAGCAAAAAGAACAAAGCTGGAAGCATCACGCTACCTGACTTCAAACTATACTACAAGACTACAGTAATTAAAACAGCATGATACTGGTACCAAAACAGAGATATAGACCAATGGAACAGAACAGAGGCCTTGGAAGTAACAACACACATCTACAATCATCTGATCTTTGACAAACCTGACCAAAACAAGCAATGAGGAAAGGATTCCCTATTTAATAAATGGTGTTGGAAAAACTGGCTAGCCATGTGCAGAAAGCTAAAACACCAAAAACAATAGCAACAAAAGCCAAAATAAATAAATGGAATCTAATTAAATGTCTGCACAGCAAAAGAAACAATCATTAGAGTGAACCAGCAACCAACGGAATGGGAAAATATTTTTGCAAGCTACCCATCTGACAAAGGGCTAATTTCCAGAATCTAGAAAGAACTAAAACAAACTTACAAGAAAAAAACAATCCCATTAAAAAGTGAGCAAAGGATATGAACAGGCACTTCAAAAGAAGATATTTATGCAGCCAACAAACATATGAAAAAATGCTCATCATCACTGGTCATTAGAGAAATGCAAATCAAAACCACATTGAGATACCATCTCATGCCAGTTAGAATGGCAATCATTAAAAAATCTGGAGACAACAGATGCTGGAGAGGATGTGGAGAAATAAGAACACTTTTACAGTGTTGGTGGGAGTGTAAATTAGTTCAACCATTGTGGAAGACAGTGTGGCGATTCCTCAAGGATCTAGAACTAGAAACACCATTTGACCCAGCAATCTCGTTACTGGGTCTACACCCAAAGGATTATAAATTGTTCTATTATAAAGACATGTGCACACATATGTTTATCATGGCACTGTTCACAACAGCAAAGACTTGAAACCAACCCTAATGCCCATCAGTGATAGACTCAATAAAGATAACGTGGTATATATACACCATGCAATACTGTGCAGCCATTAAAAAAAGGATGAGTTCCTGTCCTTTGCAGTGACATGGATGAATCTGGAAACCATCATTCTCAGCAAACTGACATAAGAACAGAAAACCAAACACCACATATTCTCACTCATAAGTGGGTATTGAACAATGAGAATACATGGACACATGAACATTACACACCAGGGCCTGGGAGTTAGGGAGCTAGGGGAGGAACAGTAGGGAGTGGGGAGATTGGGGAGGGATAGCATTAGGAGAAATAACTAATGTAGATGACGGGGTGGTGGATCCAGCAAACCACCACCATAGCACGTGTATACCTATGTAATGAACCTGCACAATATGCACATGTACCCCAGAACTTAAAGTATAATAAATAAATTTTTAAAAATAAAAATAAAAATAATTAGGAGACAACAGATGCTGGAGAGGATATGGAGAAACAGGAATGCTTTTACACTGTTGCTGGGAGTAAATGGTTAGTTCAACCGTTGTGGAAGATAGTGTGGCAATTCCGCAAAGATCTAAAAATAGAAATACCATTTGACCCAATCCCATTACTGGTTATATAGCTAAAGGATTATAAATCATTCTATTATCAAGACACATGCACACGTATGTTTACTGCAGCACTCACTGTACACAACAGCCAAGACTTGGAACCAACCCAAATGCCCATCAATGATAAACTGGATAAAGAAAATGTGGCACATATACACCATGGAATATTATGCAGCCATAAAATAAGATGAGTTCATGTCCTTTGCAGGGACATGGATGAAGCTGGATACCATCGTTCTCAGCAAACTGACACAAGAACAGAAAGCCAAATACCACATGTTCTCACTCATAAGTGGAAGTTAAACAATGAGACCACATGGACAGTGAGGGGAACATCACACACCAGGTCCTTTCAGGGGGTGGAGAGCTAGGGGAGGGACAGCAGGGGGTGGGGGGATTGCAGGGGGATAGCATTAGGTAAAATCCCTAATGTAGATGATGGGGTGATGAATTCAGCAAACCACCATGGCACATGAACACCTGTTTAACAAACCTACATGTTCTGCACATGTACCCCAGAACTTAAAGTATAATAAATAAATAAATAATGCATCATGAAAATTTTTTTCAAAGGTCATCCAGGAATTTGCCACTGGTGCACTTCTACACGGAAGATGGGTTATAGGGGGATGCTGCACAAAGGTACTCTATCAACAGTCCTGCCCTTCAACAAATGCCACCCCACCCTGACCAGTACCAGATGCTCTGTCACCTGGCATCATCTACTAACAGATATCTTGTATCAAGTCAGATGTTTCATCTTGGTTTCCTAATGCAAGACTTTCCTGATTGACTGACTGACTGACTGACAGGGTCTTACTGTGCCATCCAAGCTAGTGTGCAATGGTGTGACCTTAACTCACTGCAACCTCCACCTTGATTCTGGCAATTCTCATGTCTCAGCCTCCCAGGTGGCTAGGACTATAGTCATACACCACCATACCTGGCTAATTTTTGTATTTTTTAGCAGAGATGGGGTTTCACCATGTTGCCCAGGCTGGTCTCAAACTCCCGGTCTCAAGCGATCCACCCACTATGGCCTCCCAAAGTGTTGGGATTACAGGTGTGAGCCACTGTGCCCAGCCACAAGAGTTTAATTTTATTTTTTAATTAAGAGAATGCACTCACAAAACTAGGAGGGGAAGGAAATTGCCTTAGTATAATAAAGATCATATATGAAAATCCCACAGCAAACACCATACTCAGTGGTGAAACACTGAGTTGCTGAAATTTTAAAACACATAAATAAATGAAAAGGCATTCCATGTTCATGGATTGGAAAACTTAATATTATTAAGATGTCAATACTACCCAAAGTAATCTACAGCTTTAATGCAATCTCTATCAAAATAGTTTTCAGTGTATAAGTCTTCTGCCTTCTTGGTTAATTTCTAAATTTTTTTATGTTATTATACATGGTATTTCCTTAGTTTCTTTTAATGTTCATTATTAGTATACAGAAATGCAGCTGACTTTTGTAATTATTTTGCATCCTAGTACTTTGCTAAATTTATTAGTTCTAATGATTTTTAAGTGGAGTTTTTAGGGTTTTTTAGATATAAGATCAACACATTAGCAAATAGATAATTTTACTTCCTTCTCAATTCACATGTCTTTTACAAGTACACCTTGTTTTATTGGGTCTCACTTTACTGCATTTCACAGATTTTGTGTTTTTACAAAGTGAAGGTTTATGGCAATCTGCATCAAGCATGTCTATCGGTGTAATTTTTCTAATGGCATGTGCTCACTTCATGTCTCCATGTCACACTGTGATAATTCTCACAATATTTCAAACTTTTTCATTATTATTATATCTGTTATGTTGATCTGTGATCAGAGATCTTTGATGTTACTATCATTGTTTTGGGGGCACCATGAACCATGTCCAAATAAGATGGTAAACTTAATTGATAAATATGTGTGTTCCGACTGCTCCACTGACTAGTCATTCCCCATACTTCTCTCTCTTTCCTGAGACATAACAATATTGAAATTAGATTTAAATGTAAGAGCTAAAGTCTTAAAATGTAACAGAAAAGTTTCATGACACAGGATTTGGAATAATTTATTGGACAGATGCCAAAATTACAAGCAACAAAAGTAAAAGTAAACTGGACTACACTAAAAGACTTCTGTGTATCAAAAATTATCATGAACATAGTGAAATGGTGACCTATCAAATGGGAAAAAACATTTGCCAATCACGTATCTGACAAAGGGTTAACACCCAGAATGCTCTTTAGAGCTCCTACAGCTCAACGACAAAAATAAATAACCTGATTAAAAATGAGCAAAGGACTTGAATACAAATTTCTCCAAAGAAGACATACAAATGGCCAACAAGAATATGAAAAGCACTAATCATTAGGAAATTGCAAATCAGAATCATAAAATGTTACCTGATACCCATAAGGATGGCTAGTATCAAAAAAAAAAAAAAAAGCAGACAATAACAAATGGAGGCAAAAATGTGGAAAAATCAGAACTCTTGTGCACTGTTGTGAATGCAAAGTAGACCAGCCATTTTGGAAAACAGTATAGCAGTTCCTCAAGAAATTTAAAATAGAATTACTGCATAACCTAGTAATCCGACTTCTGGGTTGGATATATATTCAAAAGAATTGAAAGCAAAGTCTTAAAGAAATATTTGTATATGCATGTTCACAGCAGCATTAGTCACAATAGCCAAAATGCAGAGGCAGTGCAAGTGTCCACCAACAGATAAACAAAACGTGGTGTATCTATATAGTGAAATATCATTCAGCCTTAAAAAGGAAGGCTGGCATCCTGGCACATGCTACAACATAGATGAACCTGGAGGACATTACGCTAAGTTAAATAAGCCAGACATAAAAGGATCAATATTGTATGATTCTACTTATATACAGTACCTAGAGAAGTCAAATTCATAGAGACAAAGAGTAGAATGGTGCTAGCCAGGGGCTCGGGATAAAATAGGCATTGTTGTTTATAGATATGGAGTTTCAGTTTTTCAAGATGAAAAATAAAAGAGTTCTAGATATTGGTTACACAACATTGTGAATTTAATTAACACTACTGAACTGTACAGTTAAAATGGTTAAGATGATAAATGTTATGTTAGGTGTATTTTACAATTAAAACTTTTTCAAAACATTAAGAGAACTGGATATTATAATTAAAAGATAGCAAGATAAATGAAGCAATGGTAAGAAATTGTGCTGGAAACATAGAGAAGCTGAAAACAAGTAAGCAAACCAAAAGCATTCTAAAAGCTAGAGCCCTAAGGAAGGTCACAGGCTCCCATTTGAGGTAAACTAGCTGCCCATTAATCTGGTCCCCAAACCATATACAACAGAAAAACCAATTCTTGTTGCTTAAAGTCAAAGCCTGGCTCAATGAATGGGAGAAGGGATGTTTATACTCCATCCTATGGAGGGTCAGCCTTCCACAAAATGAGCAAAATCATCCCTTTCCATACAACAAAGATTGAAAAACAAGTTTCTTCTTAATTTGGAAAAAATTTTAAACATTTATGTTCCCCTATATACACATGTTCCCTTTTATATTCTACATATACAATATACTGGATATGGCAAAGAAAAAATGAAACTCAGAGATGTAAAGCAACTTCCAAGATTTACAAATTGGTAGCCCTTCAAGGACAAACTTAAATCCAAAGGGGAAACCACTGGACATCCAACAGGGGAGCAGGGAGGAGCCACCTGAACTGAGCTTGTAATACCAGGGGGAGTGGATGCCTGTTATAGTATATACAGCCATATGGGGACCCACGACATGCTGTTTCCCTTCCCCACCCCCAGTCCCTTGCTGCCATACACATACCTGTGAAACAAGCAATTCAAATATTACCATAACGAAATCTATGCATTATAACTCCACCACAGTGCTCTGTAATGTTGCCAACACGGTTATTAAGCCTCCTTTGATATTTCAACAGATTGCAAGCAGCTATTTTATGAGAGAATAGAAATGAGATATATTGGAATAAGGGGGAAAATCTTAGAAATCAACAAGACTAATTTTCTAATTAATAGAGGAATCTCACCCAAAGAATTTCAGACAGGTAGGTGCCTGCCACTGCTTGAATACTTCTAATTGCAGAGAATGTCAATGCCTAGCAAGATAGCCCATTCTATTTTTGAGCAGCCTTAAAGAGTTACAAAGTCCCTTCTTATACAGAACCAATAAACGCCTCCCTGTAACTTCTGCTTTTGGGCCTGAGACTTATTTTCTTAAAACTGAGAGATTATTTAAAATTATGTAGGTGATTAGGATCATTTGAAAACACTTCTATCGATCACCTGAGGTAACATTATTTGTTTGGAGGAACATGGAAGTCACACAAGTGAGTAAATAGCTGGTTAGTGAGCACTTGGGCACAAAGTTCCTACCCTGAATGAGTTAGATTTTGGAGGTCAGATTAACAGCAAAATTATTTTGCTAGTGAGAAATAGCTACATCGTGTTCAATAAATTTTGATTGCATAAATAATGCTAGCTCTGAAAAAAATCTGTCATCTTTGAACAAGAAAGAGATGACCTGTGAATTCTGGTATGAAAGAAAATTTCCTTCAAAGCATTAACAACATGCTTAAAACAAATTAAAGTCTCAGCCAAGCCACTGAAATTGACAACTATAAAAAATATCCGTGTGGCCAAACATCCTATGTATTAAAAAGTTTTGGCCAGGCACAGTGCCTCACACCTGTAATCCCAGCACTTTGAAGGCTGAGGCAGGTGGATCACCTAAGGTTGGGAGTTCGAGGCCAGCCTGACCAACGTGGAGAAACCCTGTCTCTAATAAAAATACAAAATTAGCTGGGTGTGGTGGTGCATGCCTGTAATCCCAGCTTCTTGGGAGACTGGGGCAGGAGAATAACTTGAACCCAGGAGGTAGAGGTTGCAGTGAGCCGCGATTGTGTCATTGCACTCTAGCACGGGCAACAAGAGCAAATCTCTGTCTCAAAAAAAAAAGTTTTAATGGGGTCTATTTCTAAAAGCATCCTCAAATCTTTATTAAAGAAAGAGTAGCATGCACACAACTATTTATCTTCCCTTCTTTGAGGAAAGGCATGAAAAGTAAAATTAGACCAAAATATGCCTTATTATTTCCTTAAGTGTAACATTTCAAATGTGAATTAACTAGCACTGGGTAAGCCCTGAGAGGCGTTGGAGATGCAAGTGCTACAGAGTCAGATTCTCTACATACTGAGTGTGCTAAAGTCAACACCTATAATTAGGAGGCTTCTTTGGGTCCAAAAGAGGAGCTCACTTAAAATTTGTTTCTATTAATAGCAATAAGCATTTTTTTGGTAAAAACAAAATATTTCACTTAGCTTTGGTAGATACTTTGAAGAACCCCCCCCCCCCCCGTCTAACTGAATAAGTCATTCACAAACACATTGAGGTATTAATACAAAAAAGTTAACATCTATCAAAAGTATAAAATTCAATTTAAATGTTTTCTTAAGCATTATTCTTTTCTAAAATAAACTCTCGCTCATGCATTCCAAAGTAATGGTCCAGCCCCTAATCTATAATTCAGTTCCAGGTTGGACAGCCATCACAAAGCACCTACTAAAACACCAGACCTTTGAAAGCGTCCTCTGCTTTCAGGAAGCAGACACTCTTTTCAGCTGCAGTTCTTAACAGCCAAAACATAAAAGCCCAGTAAAACTGTAATTAGCAAATTCAAGGCTCAAATTGAGGCAGTCAGATAAATATAAAATCTTATGTAAGCCACAGTAAGGAGAATGACCTGAATCACAAGAGCACAGTTAAGTAAAAATATTCCTTAATTTTTATTTATTTAGAGATGTATATAGGCAATTCAATATCTCCATAAGCTGAGAATTAACTGCAAAGACCCCAGGTATACTTCTTACCATCCTAGAGCCTTCAATTAATTTTGTTTCCCCAAATAGTTGCTCACAATCTAGTCACAAAGCTTTTTTCTATCTCAAAAGAAGTCCATTCTTTTGGCTGTATCAACATCTCACACACAAAAAGTCAAGCTAGCCATACTTACTCTAGTGCATCCCAGGTGGACACTTGATCCATGGCTTCAGCCCATAGCCTGTTAAACATGCAGACTTCTCAGGCTACAACCCAGACCTGATGAATCAGAATCTGCATTTTAATCTCAAGCTCTCCACTTGAGTCCCAAGCATCTTAAAGTTTGAGCAGCACTGCGTTCAACCAGTAGGTCTCAAAGGGTGGTCCTAGGACCAGCAGCATCAGCAGCACCTGGGAATCTGGTAGAAATGCACATTCTTGAACGCTGAACTACTGAATTTCAAACCTGGGGTGGAGCCCAGCAAGCTGCACTTTAACAAGACCTCCAGGTGATTCTAATGTAGTGTGCAATTTAACAAGACCTACAGGTGATTCTGATGTACTCTGAAGCTTTGGAGATCCAGTGCTTCAGACAAGGAGTTGACCAACTTTTTCTGTGAAGGACCAGACAGTAAATTTAGGCTTCTGGAGCCCTGGGTCTGTGTTGTAACTTGCCACTGTATTATGAAAGCAGCCATGGATATATGTAAACAAAGGAGCGTGGCTGTGTTCCCATAAAACTTTATGGACACTGAGATTTGAATTGTATATTCTTTTCATATGTTATGAAATATTGTTCTCCTGATTCTTTTCAACTATTTAAAAATGTAAAACCATTCTCAGCTAATGGCCCACATAAAAACAAGTGAGGAGCCGAATTGGCCCACTGGTTGTAGTTTGCCAACTGCTGCTTTAGCCCAGAATATTTGTTTTCCCAGTTCCTACTGATCTCCTTTTTTGGCAAGCCAGACTCTTGAATATCACCACACAGGACCCAGGTAAGTCAGAGGGCTAGGCTACCTTGTGTCTCAGCAAGGAAGTAACGTTTAAAACGCATTCCACAATGTCGTGAAAACAATCCTACAGCGGAGGGCATACCAATCCCCCATACTAATAATACCTAAGAAATCAAGTAAGAGTCTGTCAAGAACATAAAATAGTACTTACAAGTTTTCCAGAACCTTAATTATTAAGTGTCTGGGGTCAGGGGGAGCAAATGAAAGAATCCAAAGGATTCTGTGATCTGGGTCCAGCCCATCTTTCTAATCTTACTGGTCCATACCTACTATGTTTTCCTGTGCTCCAGTAGAATGCAGCCTCTCTTTCTCTGCCCAGATCACAGTCTGAGCATTCCCACAGACCCCTCCTCCTTTTCTCCATGAAGAACACCTGTTTCTTCAACCCTGAAGTCCAAATCCTACTCATTACTTAATGTACAACTGCAGTTTTTTCACGAAGCATTCCCAATCCCCTAGGTAAATTAATCCTTGTATTTCAATTTCAGTCGACCGCAAAGAAGAAGGAATGGCATGGGTGTTTGAGGGAGATGGCTTGATCAGCATCATGCGTGTTCATCAGATACGGCCAACAGCAGCAACTACTGTGTAGCATCCTCCTTGGGGTTCCTATAATCTTCCTTTAGGCAGATCATCATTGATAGAACCAAAAATTATTTCAGTTTTTCAGAGGATGCTTTACAGAATAATCAGTAATTTTCTCAAACAATGTGAAATTCAGGTATCATTACTTAGATGGAGTGGCATTTACAAAAAAAAAGGTTTTTTGGTTGTTTTTTTCCTTTTGTGAAGACAGAGTCTCACTAAGTTGCCCAGGCTGGTCTTGAACTCTTGGCCTTAAGCAATCCTCCTGCCTCAGCCTTTGAAAGTGCCAAGATAGATGTGATTATTATATTCTATGCTTTATTTGTATAGATTTTTTTGTATCCCTTACTAGACTCTAAGCTCCTTGAGGGCAAGAATAACTTCCTCATATACTTTAGTACATTTAGTCCCCTAGCAGTGGGACATCAGAGTTACTCATATATTTTTTGAAATAATTTAAATTTAGTTTAAAATAATGCAAAAATAATTACAGAAGGCAGCAGCAACTACCCATGATTGAGTCCTTAGTGCCTGATATAGTGTATACAGTCATCTCCCACCTCACAGAAAAACTTCCTTTAAGGTAGGAATTCTTGTGCTTATTTCCAGAGGATGACACTGAGAGTATGAGGTGGCCCAGGCCAGTGGTTCTCACAGTTCAGCCCCCAGATACGTGAGATCAGCAGCATCTGGAAACTCGTTGGTAATGTGAATTCACAGGCCCCCATACATTCAGGTATTTCTCTTTACTCAGGAAGGGATACTGAACTTGGTAGGCTACAATATTTAAGTAAAAATGCAGATGGGAAATTCTTTGATACAGTTTCTTTCTAGAGACTATCTTGTTCCACAAAAATGTGCTAAAGTTTCTGCATTAATGAAATGCTTACTAATCAGCCACTCAATCCAACCATTGGGAACATGATGAATAGGGAGATGCTGACAGGAGTTGGGAAATCCAGCTACTTTCATCAGTCCAAATGAGCATGGACTTTATGAAGACTTTTCATTATCTCAGATTGCAGTGATAAAATGAAATTCAATAATACACAGAAACCAAAAAGTTAAGACATCAAGATCCCAGCAGTTGAATTATTTATTCCAGCTTGCGCCAACTGAGATGTTACTTAGTAGAGCAGAAGTATTTTCTAGGTCCTACTTAGAAAAAAACAAAAAGTCTAAGGCTATCTCCTAGCATCAGGGAACTATTACACACACACACATAAAACATGTAAAGCTAAGGGTAAAATTATCAGATTAAACATCAAGAATTTCCCCCAACTACAACTGCCTTCATATAGTCACAAATGCAGCAATTTTACTATGAGGTACTTAGTGCGTATTCACCAGATCTATTTTGTTTACCATTGCCACAATGAGACTCAACGGTCTTATGGAGACCAAAAGATGCCGATACAAAAAAAAGAATGTATTTCTAAAAGAGATTTTACTGTGTTTTATTATTCTCTCCCTCCTTGCCATGCATTTTCTTTCACAGTTGTTGCATGTATGTTTTTATATAAAAACTATATATAGTTTTTTTTTAATTGCACTTTAGGTTCTGGGGTACATGTGCAAAACATGCAGGATTGCTGCATAGGTACATACATGGCAAAGTGACTTGCTGCCTCCATCCCTCCATCGCCTATATCTGGCATTTCTCCCCATGTTGTCCCTCCCCAACCTCCCTACCCCTGCTGTCCCTCCCCTATTCCCCACAAACAGACCCCAGTGTGTGATGCTCCCCTCCCTGTGTCCATGTGTTCTCACTGTTCGAAACCTGCCTATAAGTGAGAACATGCGGTGTTTGTCCCTCTGTTCTTGTGTCAGTCTGCTGAGAATGATGGTTTCCAGATTCGTCCATGTCCTTATAAAGAACACAAACTCATCATTTTTTACGGATGCATAGTATTCCATGGGGTATATGTGCCACATTTTCCTTGTCCAGTCTATCATCGATGGGCATTTGGGTTTGGTCCAGGTCTTTGCTATTGTAAACAGTGCCACAATGAATATATGCGTGCATGTGTCCTTACAATAGAACGATTTATAATCCTTTGGATATATACCCAGTAATGGGATTGCTGGGTCAAATGGAATTTCTATTTCTAGGTCCTTGAGGAATCGCCACACTGTCTTCCACAATGGTTGAACTAATTTACACTCCCACCAACACTGTAAAAGTGTTCCTATTTCTCCACATCCTCTCCAGCATCTGTTGTTTCCAGATTTTTTAATGATCACCATTCAAACTGGCATGAGATGGTATCTCAATGTGGTTTTCATTTGCATGTCTCTAATGACCAGTGATGATGAGCATTTTTTCATGTTAGTTGGCCTCATAAATGTCTTCTTTTGTAAAGTGTCTGTTTATGTCCTTCACCCACTTTTGAATGGGTTTGTTTTTTCTTGTAATTCTGCTTTAGTTCTTTGCAGATTCTGGATATTAGCCCTTTGTCAGACGGGTGGATTGCAAAAATTTTTTCCCATTCTGTTGGTTGCTGGTTCACTCTAATGATTGTTTCTTTTGCTGTACTGAAGCTCTGGAGTTTGATTAGATCCCATTTGTCTATTTTGGCTTTTGTTGCCAATGCTTTCGGTGTTTTAGTCATGAAGTCCCTGCCTATGCCTATGTCCTGAATGGTTTTGCCTAGATTTTCTTCTAGGGTTTTTATGGTATTAGGCCTTACGTTTAAGTCTTTAATCCATCTGGAGTTAATTTTAGTGTAAGGTGTCAGGAAGGTGTCCAGTTTCTGCTTTCTGCACATGGCTAGCCAGTTCTCCCAACACCATTTATTAAACAGGGAATCCTTTCCCCAATGCTTGTTTTTGTGAGGTGTGTCAAAGATCAGATGGTTGTAGATGTGTGCCATTGCCTCCGAGGCCTCTGTTCTGTTCCATTGGTTTATATCTCTGTTTTGGTACCAGTACCATGCTGTTTTCATTACTGTAGCCTTGTAGCATAGTTTGAAGTCAGGTAGCTTGATGCATCCAGCTTTGTTCTTTTTGCTTAGAATTGTCTTGGCTATGCAGGCTCACTTTTGGTTCCATATGAAGTTTAAGGTGGTTTTTTTCCAGTTCTGTGAAGAGGGTCATAGGTAGCTTGATGGGGATAGTGTTGAATCTATAAATTACTTTGGGCAGTATGGCCATTTTCACAATATTGATTTTTCACAACCATGAGCATGGAATGTTTTTCCATCTGTTTGTGTCCTCTCTTATTTCATTGAGCAGTGGTTTGTAGTTCTCCTTGAAGAGGTCCTTTACATCCTTTGTTAGTTGTATTCCTAGGTATTTTATTCTCTTTGCAACAATTGTGAATGGCAGTTCGTCCTTGATGTGGCTCTATTTAAGTCTGTTATTGGCATATAGGAATGCTTGTGATTTCTGCACATTGATTTCGTATCCTGAGACTTTGCTGAAGTTGCTTATCAGGTTCAGGAGATTTTGGGCTGAGACAATGGGGTCTTCTAAATATACAATCATGTCATCTGCAAATAGAGACAACTGGACTTCCTCCTTTCCTAATTAAATAGCCTTTATTTTTCTTGTCTGGTTGCTCAGGCTAGAACTTCCAACACTATATTGAATAGGAGTGGTGAGAGAGGGCATCCTTGTCTAGTGCCAGATTTCAGAGGGAATGCTTCCAGTTTTTGCCCATTCAGTATGATATTCACTGTGGGTTTGTCATAAATAGCTCTTATTATTTTGAGATACGTTCCGTTGATACCTAGTTTATTGAGAGCTTTTAGCATAAAGGGCTGTTGAATTTTGTCAAAGGCCTTCTCTGCATCTACTGAGATAATCATGCGGTTTTGTCTTTGGTTCTGTTTATGTGGTGAATTACGTTTATAGACTTGCGTATGTTGAACCAGCCTTGCATCCCCGGGATGAAGCCTACTTAATCATGGTGGATAAGTTTTTTGATGTGCTGTTGCAATCGGCTTGCCAGTATTTTATTGAAGATTTTTGTGTCTACATTCATCATGGATATTGGTCTGAAGTTTTCTTTTCTTGTTGAGCCTCTGCCGGGTTTTGGTATCAGGATGATGTTGTTCTCATAAAATGATTTGGTAAGGATTCCTTTTTTTGTATTGTTTGGAATATTTTCAGAAGGAGTCGTACCAGTTCCTCTTTGTACTGTATGGTAGACTTTGGCTGTGAACCCATCTGGACTTGGGCTTATTTTGTTTGGCGTTTATATTTTAAGTTAGCATTAAGCATTACCTTAAAGCCAATGTTCACCAGAAATGCGAAAAACAAAACATGTCCATCTTCATGAGCTCTTTAATATCTTAATTCATCTTGAGACCTACTTCGCAAAGTCCATAAGCAAATTCCCTAATTTCTCAGAAAAGTCATGTCAGTGAATATTTAGGCTGCATGAGAAACAGCCATAAAGCCCCAATGAAAACTAGAAATTCAGTAAGAGGGGCTAAATGTAATAGAAGTAAGAGTAGCCTGAAATTTTCTAAAGGCAGGAGGGAACTTGAGCAGCCTGATCTATGAAATTATGTGTGCTTTTTGGTAGGGCTGAGTCAAATAGACATGGGACCCTTTTAAGTTGCTTTCTATAATAAATCACCTAACCCACAGGCAGACAGCAATAGGAAAACTATATAATGGTTAAACTCATGAGCTGGTTTCCTGGATAGATCTCAAAAGGAAAAAAAATTCTCTATATGAATAAAATGAATGGCTCAAGCATTCTTCATTATGTCACGTATTTAAAATGCATGTATAATAACTGATAATTAATTAAAGCAAATAAAAACATTCCTCAATGGGGCATATTTCAAACTTAGTCATATTACCAATCTTTATAAACATGAATAATCATGGGCAGATGGAATGCCATTATAATTACAGTGATTCTGTTTGCTTTAATTTTATAGAAAGCCCTGAGGAATACATCTGGGAGAACTCTGACAAATCTGATAGAAAAAGGAACTTATTCTTTCCTGGGGGCACTTCTTATTCTCTACAACTAGGCTGTACTGTTTGTAAACTGTAGCTCATGTAAATACCTGCCTCACAGGTATGTTGTAAGCATCATATACAAGATGTGAAAGGTGCTTTGGGAATGCTAAAGCTCTCTACAAAGCAGAGTGATTTTCTACATGGGAATAGTTCACATCAAATGAATAGCAAGAGTTAAAAACTGGTAATTAACCAGGTGTGGTGTCTCCGTCTGGATTCCAAGCAATTTAGGAGGCCAAGGTAGGAGATCACTGGAGGCCAAGAATTGAAGACCAGCCTGGGCAGCATAGTGAGACCCCATCTCCAAAAAAGAAAAAAAAACACCTGTTGCCTAATTTCTGTGAATGCCAGTACATCTAAGTTGTGATAATATCTGAATTTCAAATTGTTTGAGAAAATTACTAATTATTCTTTAAAGCAACCTCTGAAAAAAAACTTTTGGTTCTATCAATGATGATATGGCCTTAAGGTATATCATAGGAACCCCTAGGATTATGTTACATAATGGTTGTTGTTATTGGCCATATCTGATGAGCATTTATGATGCTGATCAAGCCATCACCCTCAAACACCCATGCCATGACTTCTTCCTTATATCTACTGAAAAATTACATTTGTGAATTGCCTCGGCTTGCCAAAGTCCTATTCCCTTGCACACACCCCCAATCCCACTCCTTAGCAGGAAACAGGTGTGTGTGCATGCACGCTTGCACGCAACCACATGCATGCACAATTAACAATTGTTAATTTTTCCAATTAACAAAATGTCAGTAACAGAACTTTTTCCTATAACTAATACTTAGATTACATTGTTATATTAAACTATATAACCGTGAAGTTTGAAAGATTACAACAATGCAACACAAGCTCCCTTTTACACATCTATAGCTGTGAGCTAAATGCACTACTGAATACATCATCATTCATGACGTAAAGCTGACTTTGAGAGTACTAAAAGACGAGTACATACATTTTTAAATGAGTACCTATCAGAAAACTCTTCTGGACATTACCTTAGACAAAGAAATCATGATTAAAACCTCAAATGCAAATACAACAAAAACAAAATAGAAAAATGGGACAAACAGTAAAGCTTCTTACAGCAAAAAGAAAGAGACAACCTACAGAATAAGAGAAAATATTTACAAACTATGTATTCAAATCCAGAATCAATAAGGAACTCAACTTAACAACAACAAAACATAAATAACTCCTTTCAAAAGTGGGCAAAGGATATGAACAGACATTTTTCAAAAGAAGACATATAAATGACCCACAAGCACATGAAAAATGTTTGACATCACTAATAGTCAGAAAGGCAAATTAAAATGACATGGAGATATCATCTTACACCAGTCAGATGTTACTAAAATGTCAAAAAATAACAGATGTTGGCAAGGATGTGGAGAAAGGGTAACACTTATACACTGCCAGTGGGAATGTAAATCAGTACAACCTCTATGGAAAACAGCATGGGAGATTTCTCAAAGAACTGAAAATAGAACTGCCATTTGATCCAGCAGTTCCACTACTGGTATCTACCCAAATACCCTACACACTACTGAGTAGAAACCCAAAGGGAAAAAACATCACTATATCCAAAAGACACCTTCCCTCGTATGTTTATTATAGCACTATTCACAATAGCACAGATATGGAATCAACCTAAGTTTCCATCAGCAAATGATTGGATAAAGAAAATGTGGCATATATACACAATGGAACACTACTCAGCCATAAAAAACAACAAATCATGTCTTTTACAACTCAGATGGAACTGGAGGCCATTTTCTTAAGTGAGATAACTCAAACAGAAAGTTAATTACTGTATTTCTCTCTAATAAGTCAGAGCTAAATAATGTGTATGCATGGACACAGAATGTGAAATGATAGACACTGGAGACTCAGAAGGGTTTTTTTTCTTTGGCCATCTCAACCCAGCTTCTCCCGACTCCAGGAAGAACCGGGAAGAGAAGGCAACAACTTCAGAAGGGTTTTAAGGGTGGGAGAGAGTGAGGAACGAGAAGTTCCTTAATGGATTCAATGTACATTATTCAGGTGACAGTTGCACTAAAAGCCCAGACTTCACCAGTATGTAATATGTTCATGTAACAAAACTGCACTTGTGCCCCTTAAGTTAATACAAAATTAAAGGGGAAAAAAACAGCAAAAGAGAGAAAGGATGTATCTATCATGAATGGTGTTTGTAGTAAATACAGTGCTAGCCTCAACTTTGATAACAAGCTGTCTGACTTAGCCTGTTCAGACCATTCCCATAGCCCAAGATGAGTTCCAATTTTCAAATTTGTGATGCATAAAAATAGAACGTAAAAAAGAAACTAAGTAATCACAAGTTTTAATTTACAAAACACAGATACTTAATACGTATTTTGGTGTAAATAAGCAATGTTACAATAAGAGCAATAGATTAGAACTAATAACCAGAAGTAAATGTCATTACATACAAGAACATAATATATGACAAAGGATTCATCACAAGGAATGGGAAACATTTAACAAATGGTTGGGACTTACTAGCTAGCAATCTGCCACATCTATATCTGAAATTTAGACAACCCATTTGAAGCACACAGAAGTTAGCTTGACATCATTTTATATTTAAATATATAAAAATAAAAGCATAGAAAAAATAAAACACAATTGAAAGTTTCTCTATACACTTAGAAGAAATAGGACCTGATGTTCTATAGATCAGTCGGGTGACTATAGTTTATATCAATCTGTCATACTTTCAGAATAGCTAGAAGACAATAATTCAAATGTTCCTATCATAAAGAAAAGATAAATATTTAAGGTGATGGATATCCCAATTACCCTGATTTTATTATAGGAATGTATCAAATTATCACATGTATCCCCAAAATATGTACGTTATATATTTTTAAAAAAGAAAATGTGTCAGTCTCTAGAAGTAACATCTTTTGTGCTTTAAAATTCTAAAAGAAAAGAAGCACAGACTTGCCTACATAAAAATCAAACACAAATTCACTGACAAAAAGCAAACAAAAGACTAGAAAAAATATTTTCAGCAAATATGATTGTCTTATTTTTGTTAAGTAAATTGATTTTTTAAAAAAAGAAGCATTAAGTCTTAAAAGGCAAGCAAGTAATAGATAAAAATACTCCTGAGCATCCTCTAGAATAGCTCCTCGACATGGCATTCCCAGTCCTCCAGAGCCCAGTACCACTGTACCTTCCAGCCATGTCTCCAGCTTCCTCCCTATGCATTCAATGCTCTTGCCATATTGAACTGCTTATAATCTCCAGGTGACTCAAAGCTCAAAGCTCTGGCTCATTGTGCTTTCACTCTAGTGGAATAGCCAACTCCTCATTCTTCCACCTGAAAATTCATCTTTCAGAGCAACTCAAGTCTCACCTGTACCAGGACCCTGCAATGCCCACTGCTGCCACTCCATCACTTGCCCTGCCCAACACTGTCCAGAAGCACTTGCTGCAATGATGGAAACGTTCTGTAAATGTGCTGTCTAACATGTCCCTCCTAGCCATGTGTGGCTATGGAGCACTTGAAATGTAGTTAGTGTGACTAAGAATTTAATTTTAAATTTCATTTATTTAATTTTCATTTAATTACCATTAAGCTAAGGACTATCAGGTTAGACAGCACAGTAATCCTGATGGAGTTCACTAAGTTTTTCTTATTTTTCCCAGTGTCACCATCACTCGCCCAATGCCAGATACATGAGCAGAAACTCAGTAAATGTTTATCCAATGAATAATTTAAGGTGTTAATTATGAACCAAACACTATGCTGGGCACATTACAAGTATTACCTAACTAGCTCTAAAAATAGCAATATGAAGTAAGCACTATTACAATCCCTAGCTTTCTGGTGAGGAACTTAAAGAACTAAGCAACTTGCCCGGATCACATTCTTAGGAAACGTGTGGGAAGGGATACTAAGCACAATGTCAGAGGAATGTCAGCTTGAAGGATTATGTTCTTTTAACTATGTTTTCAAGCTTTTTGTGATCAAGATATGATAACTTTCCAATTCACACTTTTTCTTAGTATTAATATATTGTTACATAAATTTTTATTAAAAAAATAAAGTGATTAAATGATAAAATTAATCAACACAAAGTACACATCTCAATGAAACTACCACTTGAATCAGGAAATAGCACATTACCAGCATCCTGGAAGCCTCCTGGTATGCTCTCCCACCTTCCCTCCTCCCCACCATCCTCCCAACAGATAACCACTATCCTCACCTTCAACACACCAGAGTTGTTTTGCCTGTTTCTGACCTTGATAAAAAGTGAAATCATATACTACACACTTTTGTGTCTGCCTTCATTCATTCAACTCTGTGATATGTATCCATGTCACTGTGTGCAACAACAGCTCTACCCATTGCTGTATAGGATTCCATTGTAAGAATACACCACAGGCTGCTGATCTATTCTATTACTGAAGGACATCTGGGTTGTTTCCAGTTTGGAGCTGTTAGGAATAATGGTGCCACAAACATTCTTATACATGTCTTTTGATGCAAATATGTGCCATATTTGTTAGTTACATTCCTAAAAATGTAATTACACATCTATAAGGCATGCAAATAATCAGCTTTTAACTAACAGTTTTACAAACTGGTGTACAAATATACATTCCATCAACAGAGTAGGAGAGTTATAATATTCTCCAATATTGTCAGTATTGCTATTTTCATCTTTTTAATTCTAGTAATTCTTGAGGAGCAGCAGGGTATTGATATCTCATTGTGGTTTTGTTGCATTTCCCTGATAACTAATGAGGTTGAGCATCTTTGTATTTATTTATTGGCCATTTGGATACCTTCTTTTGTGAAGGGCATGTCAAATCTTTTGCTGATATTTCTATTGAGTTGTTACTGTTTTAAATGACTTATTTAAACATTATGGATGTAAGATATTTGTTACTTGCATATATTAAAAATCTCTCAATATCTTGCCATTTCATATTCAGGGATGTTTTCCTGATAAACAGAACTTCACTTCAATGTAATCCAATATTTTCTGATAAGACTAATGTTCCTGAGTTTTTATATCATACAATGAAATGTCTCAATATTTCATAACTCAATGAACTAATTCCTCCAAATGACTAATGCATAGTGTTAGAAAACCATGCATTAGTAAAATATAACGGACAAGATAGCCCAATGAATTTCATGTACTATAGCATGAAAAACTCGATATGATTCCATATTCTACTTTGCAAGTAAGCTTAAGAAACTACCACTTGCTAAGTTTGATGTACCAAAGAATATTCACAATTATTGAAGAAGCTATTAAAACATTCCTCCTTTTCTAGCTATATACCTTTGTGAAGCTAATTTTCTTCATTATACTTCAACCAAAATAACATATCAAAACAGATATGTTGTCTTCTATTGCTATATCTTCTGTTAAGCTAAGCGTTAAAATTTTCAAAAATATTTTAAAATATAAAATATTAACATTTTGACAAATTTTGCAAAATTGCAAAAATATAATATAAAAAGATATTTTTCATTAAGTGTTTGTTTAGAAAATAGGTATTAACATGAGTATATCATAATCTGTTATTGTTTTAAATAGGTATGTATTATATTCATAAATGTTTTTAAATTCCTAACTGAATTTCTATAGCGTATTATCCATATACATTACAGCATATGTGAAAACACATACAAATATATACAGTAAATATATGTAGAACATATGTAAATACAGTAGATATGCAGCAAATATATACAGAATATATCCACATTTATGAATACAGTAAATATAAATATAACTCACATATACAAAAGATCTTTGTAGCCCTCAAAAATGTTTAAGAGTGTATAGGGGACCCAAGACCAAAAAGTTGGAGAATTATTGGTATAGTTGTTCTAACAATGACTGAAAAGGAGGTGTTAAAATCTACAACTATGATTATGAATTTATTGATTTCTTCTTTTAGTTCTCTTATTTTTTGCTTTGTAGTTATCTATTAGTTACCTATATATTTAGTATAGCCATAATTCCCTCTTTATCTCTAGTAATGATCCTTGCCTAAAGTCTAACTTAGATAACAGTATAGTTATGCTGGCTTTCTTTGGGTTAATGTTTTTATGGTACATGTTTTCAGACATTGTCCAAACATTATTTCTCTCTCTCCACCCAGCCTTCATCCCCACCACCCCCCATCATTTTCTGGAACTCTAGATACACCTTCCCTAGATTTTCTTACCATGTCCCATGTGTCTCTCATGACTTCGGTTTGGCATAGTTTTCTAATTCCTTTTTACGTCCATGCTTTATATGGACATTAATCTATTTTCTAGTTCGCTGTTTCCTTCTTCAGCTAGATCTAATCTGTACTTAAACCCACTATTGAGCTCTCAATTTCTGTTAACTTTTTGGATTCAGATTTTTTATACTTTCTTATAGTTTCTGGTTCTACTCTCTTATGGTTCTATTCTAGTCCAATTCTCCATCTTAATTGCCTGAATATAATAGTCCAAGTTATTTTAAAGTCTGGGTTTGATAACTCCAATAACAGGGTAACCTCCAACCCACTAAGTAGTTCTAAGTAGTTACTTCCCATGCCCCTCCTCCCCCTAATTGCTGATAACCACCAATTTGCTGTCTGTATGGATTTACCTATTTTGTATATTTCATATAAATTAAATCATACAACATGTGACCTTTTATTTCTGTCTTCTTTCAACATAGCATCTTCTTCGGGTTAACTCACTGCAGCACCATCAAAACTTCATTCCTTTTTATGGCTAATAATATTCCATCATATGTACATATCACAGTTCACTTACCCATTTTTCTGTTGATGAACATTTGAATTGTTACCACCTTTTCATTGTGGTTAATAGCTCTGCTGTGAGCATGAGTGCACAAACACAGGTTTTTATGTTATTTTGGCTATTGATATGATTTGGCTGTGTCCTCATCCAAATCTCATCTTAAATTGTAGCTCCCATAATTCCCATGTGTTGTGGGAGGGTTCCAGTGGGCAGTAAGCGAATCATGGGGGCAGGTCTTTCTTATGTTCTCATGAAAGTAAGTCTCATGAGAGCTGATGGTTTAATAAAGGAGAGTTCCCCTGCACATGCTCTCTCTCTTGCCTGCCACCATGTAAGACACGACTTTGCTCCTCCTTCACCTTCTACCATGATTGTGAGGCCTCCCCAGCCATGTGGAACTGTGAGTCCATTATACCTCTTTCCTTTATATATTATCCAGTCTTGGGTATGTCTTTGTTAGCAGCATGAAAACAGATTAATACACTTATGTTCTCTTTTAGTTTTGTTTTATTTTTTAACCTCTACTAGTTTTCTTCAGCAGATGAATTGGTTTGCAACAAACCAGTCCACCATCTCCAGAAGTAAAACTGAAATTTAAATTTTATTTTAGTAAAACTAAAATTTAAAAACTGCAATATCAAAAAACTGATCCTGAAGTAATAACTAATGAAAGACAATTTTGAAGCATAATACAAATGCTCGATTTTAAGCAGTACAATAAACATTTGGAAACTGTTTTGTTGATGCTTTTTAAATATTACCCAAACTTTCCTTAGGCCTAAATACAGAAACAATTAGTATTGTAAAAAGCAATTCAGCCCCAGAGACATATGCTACACAAATTGATATATGAAAATTCCATTTTACAAACAAAATATACATAAATGATCTTAAGTATTTAGCTTTTTATTTCCCCAGTTAAAAATGCCAAGTTTTTAGCTATCTGTTGCTCCCAAACTAAAAAAGTTCTGCAATGGCTACAAAGACACTGGCTTTTAAAAGTTAGCATCCAACAGAAAGAAAAATAATGTTTCAATATAAGGAAGAACAGTTGGGCAGAAGCAACCCAAATTTCCAGCCCAAAAGAGAAAACTGAGCTTAAGAACTATGAAAGCTCAATGTAAAAGTGAGACACTGTAAAGTCTGAGAGGAAGATGAAATGGAAATACAAAAATAGGCCTGCTCAACCAAGAAGAGAAGAAAGGTGGTACAGGGCTATATAAGATTACTTTGGTTAATTCCTGAAAA